CTAGGACGTAGTGTTACAAATCGCCAAACGCTAACCAATTAAGCCCGGCTCTTTTCCTACCTCATAACCAATTTTGATGTCAATACAAAACCGTGGAAGAAATTTATATTCATCCAACTATCCACCATTAATAAATAAATTCAAAATATCGACATCCAACTATCCACCATAAATAATTATATAGTAAAAATATTAAATAAATAAGTAGGTATATTTTGCAATGATGAAAATAAACAAATAAAAATAAATATGATTTTTTTTTGAAAAAGGAAGCAGCCTACCTCAATCTAGGTGACAAAAAAAAAAAAGAAAAAAAGATAATTTACAATTAGTAGTTTTTCTCATGACTTTTTATAAGTTTTTCTTGTTGATTTTTATGATATTTTTAAGTTATATAAACAAAATATTTGATTTCCCTAGTGAGTTTAAATAGTGCTTCGTTAAGCCCTCGCTATGTCAAAATTTTCTCTCCCAATCACATCTCTCACTATCTTCACATTTACCATGCTCTTTTGTCTCCCACGCACTCTCACATAAATTGTTTTGAACCAGCCCTTCATTGAGGTACTTCATTACTTTGAGCATCATTAGTGCAGAGAAACTTCTTAGTTATTGCTCCCCAATTTTAAGATCAAGTTTGACCTAAGATCTTGTGCTACCAGGAGTAAGCATTTTATAGGTTGTAACTAAGACCTTAAACAACAACCCAAGTTCATTATTTTTGGCTTCTCATGGCCCAAGTCTTATATGCAAACATTTGGTCGATTCTTGTATTTTGGAGATTTAGTTTATATTTATGGATAAGTGTTTGAATGTATTTATATAAAAAAATTTATGGTGTTGAAGTTTATATGTAAGTGACATTGTATTGAGTTTTATCAATCAACAAGTGGAAATATATTGGGGACTTAAGTGAGGTCTTATAATTTCTTTTTTGAGTGTATATAATACTCTACAACCGTTCGTAAAAGTGATTATGTGGCTCTAATTATTGGTTAAGATCATTGTAAGTTTGAGTGCTTGTAAAAATTTTAGTGTTGTATATTTGAGCTTGCTACTATACACTCACTAAGCGATATCTGAGCCTAGCCTCAGAAGTGTCCCCTAATCAACTCTTTGGGTTGCATCCTCAGTGTGCATAGGTCTTAGATCATGGTGACCATTGTTAACTACCGTGTGAGCTAAGTGTTTGATGGAATTCTTCATTGAAATCGACATCTGGATAGTACATAGAGATTAACAATCTATGCGATTGAAAAATGAGTTGGGGATCTACAGTAATCTAGACCCAATGCCAACGGATCAAATAACTGAGAATTAGGTCTCCTATTAATAAAATTTCATGAGACTGTGTTTAGGGACCCTAAATTGGAAGCATTGAAGCTAGAGGTAACACAGTCAAATTTTTCAGATAATCATATCTAATTATTGTTTTTTGAACATTAAAGATGGCATAAAAATAATATTTTGTTTGAGTAATTTTTTTCTTATTTTGTTGATTTTTTACTCTACTTTCATGTAGAAAAAGTCTCAATGGAATATCATTTATAGATAGGGAGATATAAGTCAATCTTTGAGTAGTATTAGTTATAAGTACATAAATTCTAGGAACATTGCATCATATTGTGTGGGGTTTTTAGGTTATTATCATAAGGGGTGGGAGTGAAGTGCTTGTTTTAATTTTAGAAAATTAAGATTAGTTTCAAGAAAACTAAATTTCATAGAAAATCTCCATAAAGATTGGGAGATATGGCATAGTCTAGAAAGTAACATCCTGAGTCAAAATTAAGTCTAGTTTTAAGAAAACTAAATTTCATGGAAAATCTCGGTATAGATTGAGAGATAACTATTTTATCAAAAGGCGCTCAATCTGTCTTTTTGCTGCATAGTCTAGAAAGTAACATCTTGAGTCACAGGTCAGAAGCCCCATGATGAGATCTTATTATACCAAACCCAAGTTTTTTTTATGCCATTTTGAGTCTATTTTATATAGAAAAAACTCTAATAGCCAAATCTTCTATTTTTTTGGAGTTATGGTATTTGGATCAGAGGGTGCTCAATCCGAAAGTGCAGAAAATTGAGGAAGTCATACCCCACGGGTGAGTTGAACGATGCAATGCGCACCCTTATATACTCCAACTACTACACAATCAATTACGAGTCTTTTAAGACTACTTGGCGCATATTTGATCAGTAAGATCAGATATTCGGACGACATCCGGTATACGCGTGTTTGCTGTTACTATCTATGACCCCAAAGGCACATGAATATGGATTGGACCATCAACATATTCAAAGGATGTAAAGTAACAGTGGAGCGCAAACAAAGGCATGATACTTCACAAGGCAGCATAGGTAGACCGTACAGTATAATTTCTTATCCATGTGCATAGTGCTATAGTATAATAGACAGATACGATCCAATGAGTACAAAACCTAAGAAAAAAAAATATTGTCTTCATATTCCCTACATCATTAGAATATGGAGGGATATCTTCACATAAAATGAGAAATGTTAACACATGGAAAGCAAGGACCACAATGAAAAACATAGAAAGAAGGAATAGTGACATAATGTATGAATTTGAACTAAAAATGGATATGTATACATATAAAAACAAATATATAGGTTTTTTAATGAAAAATAACCTTTACATATACTACTTATATAGTTGCTTTGATTGAGTCACCCTTATAAACATCTACTAAGATATGTATTCTCATATTTATACATGCGTTTTGATTAAAAATATACGTTTTCATATATATTAAAAATAACCTTTGTTATGGGAAAGTTTTCTATGCTTCCCCTACAGCATATAAGTTTTATCCTCCCCCATATTTTTGACCGTTGATTTAAAATACAGAGCTTGGATTAATCCACTTGAGTTGTCACAAAAAAAGGGCACGGGTTCAACCGGTAACCTATGCAAACGGCCCGTACAAGAGAGAGAAAGGAGTAACCTTTTCCATTTTAGAGAGAGAGAGAGAGAGAGTTGGAAAAAAGGGAAAGCAAAGAGAGCAGGCTGAAGAAAAATGCCCCTACAGACAGCTGAAGAAAAAGTGGAGAGAGCAGGCTGGAGAAAAGGGAAAGCCATTGAAGATTAGGGTTTCAACTTAAATTCGCGACTTTGTTGCCATGACACAAACAGGTGTGCTTCTTCTTTTCGCTTCTCAAATATTTTTTTTTAAACCCTCTCAATTTCTAAATTTTGAAAACCCTTTCTTTAAATTTTAAAATTATTTAGGGTTTCTATCTCATATCGTAAGCTCACTTATGGAGCCTAGGACCCTCTTATTCACAAGTATCAAGTTAAATTAGACCTATGGAAGACCATAACTTTATCTTTTGGTGGGCGTGTCACTTTGGTTAAATCCACCTATGCACATCTTCCTATTTACTTAATGTCAGTCCAACAAATACCTAGTGAAGTAATCGAGCTTATTGAAAATATATGTGAACCTTCTATTTGTGTAATATGGTGATAACCACAACAAGTTTCATTTAGCGTGGAGCAAGGC